TATATATATATATATATATATATATATGAACAAATCTGCAGGATTTCTAGGTTTCTCAGCTCAAAGGGACGAGAGAATGCTGAGATGGCTCCCATTGTCCCAAAGGACCAGAAGTTTGAGATAATGAACTGCTGACAAAATCTGTCGGCATCAGCAGTGGGGGAAACATATTAACCCAACTCTGTTGATAGTAAACTTTCTGCAACGAATTACTTTGGAGTTTAAAAGTTTGTGTAAATGCTCTCCAAAAGGTTTTTTTGGTTTGTTTGTTTTTTTGTTTAAAATCCAGCTTCCTCTGCGCAAATAACTTTTCTGGTACATAATTATACTCCAGTAATGTAGAAACTGGGTATAAGGAAGTAGTGTAGAAAGAGCATTTGAAATGAATTAAGGATCTCAGTCATAGTTCTGCCAATAATGTATGTAACAATAGGTTTAAATGCTTTGAGCTCAGAGTGAAGTTATTTGTGAGTCGTTTTTTTTGTTTTTTTTTTTTTCAGGACTCAAATTTTGAAGTCTAGGTCCGTTCCCATATTTGGAGGATACAAATGTGCACGCCAGAGCTCTCAGGATGTGTGATGGAAACAGCCTCTAAACAGAAATATCACACGTTGCTTTGTTTTGAGCCAAGAGTTCTGTGTTTATCAGGGTAGCCTCCAACTGGAGTCTCCTGCCTCAGTCTCCCCATGTGCTGAGATTACGGGCCACCACACAGCTAGTGCCCAGCAAATGATGAGAGCAAACCAAAGGTCTGGACTCTGAGAATGCCTGGGTGTCCCAGTGCATACATTCCAGCACTGTTGACCCTCGTCCCTCTGAATCCTAAAGCCCCAAGCTTTTTCTTTCCCAGCGTCAGGAATCCCAGGGCACGCCCCGCCTCTCCCAGGGAGTACATCACAGCTTCTCTTCTAACAAAATCCACCTTAAAATTACTTTTATTTAATTAATCTGTGTTTGCGTGTGAGTACGGTGCCCTCGGAAGTCAGAAATGGGTCTCCAATTGGAGCTAAAGGCGCCTGTGAGCAACCCAATCCGGGGAACCGAACTCGGATCCTTTAACAGAGCAAAGCATTCGCAGCGCATTCTCTTGACCCCCGAGTCTTCTCATCTCCGTCTTAAGGATAGGTCAGGCACTACTTCTTCCTCGTTCTCTCAGGCTAAGAGGCGGCCGGGACCCAGATGCTCCAGACCCTAGAATGATCGGAGCACACGAGGCAAGCTGGCAAGCCTCGAGCCACTTCCGCTGACCCGGAAGGACCTGGAAGCGCCCGAAGGGCCGGAAGTGATGGCAGCCGCGATCTCTGCTTTCCTAGCAACCGTGCCGGCTTCTTAGCGACGCAGGTGGCTCCCGCATCCCCGGTCCAGCCATGCCGGTGCGGGTGAGCGAGTTCAGCTGGCAGCAGACGCCGGCCGCGGTCTTCCTGTCGCTGCCTCTGCGCGGCGTGTGCGTGCGCGACGCCGACGTGTTCTGCGGGGAAAGTTACCTCAAGGTGGGCGGGGCGGAGTACTTGAAGTACTGTATTGTGTCAGTTGCGTTTACTTTTTTATGTTTTATTAACTTTTTATTTGCATTTTTTACTTTTAATTACTTTTTTGTGATGCTAGGGGTCAAACCCAGCCTCCTGTGTATGCCACGCCACTGAGCTACATTTGCAGCTATTATATGCATTATGTGTATATATGTGTGTATGAATGAATGTTTGCATGTATGTGTGTGCACCAGGTGTATGCAGTGTCTGCGAAGGTCAGAAGAGGGCGCCAGATCTCTTGGGACTGGAGTTAACAGATGGTTATGAGCCACCATGTGGATGCTGGGAACCAACCTCCCCGACCCCAGTCTTTTGTTGTTGTTGTTTTGTTTTGTTTTTCAAGACAGGGTTTCTCTGTCGCTTTGGAGCCTGCCCTGGCACTCCTCTATGGACTAGTCTGGCCTCGAACTCACAGAGATCTGCCTGCCTCTGCCTCCTGCGTGCTGGAATTAAACTACTGCCTAGCTCCAAACCGCAGTCTTATGCAAGAGCAGCATATGCTCTTAACCACTGAATACATCTCTCCAGCCCCAATGGTTTATGGGGCAGGGCGTGTCTTACTCTATAGCCCACAATGACCTCGAATGTTAGGCAATCCTCATGCCTCAAACTTGCAAGTTTTGGGATTAGTGAGATGTTCAACCTTCCCTGGCTAGACTTCAATTTAAAGTTCCCGTTTTAAAAAACAAATCTAAAGCCAGGCAGTGATATCCTATTCCTTTAGTCCCAACACTGGGGCGGCAGAGGCAGGGGGATCTCTATGAGTTCCAGGCCAACCTACACAGCCAAGGCTACACAGAAAAACCCTTTCTTAATAAATAAACAAACAAATAAATAACAAATCTGGGGCTGGTGAGAGGGGTTAATGAGTTAATGGACTGCTAACAAGCCTGACAGCCTCAGTTCAGTCCCTGGGAAGGAGAGAACCAACTTCTCACAATTCTCTGACCTTCACATGTATGCCATGGTACTCATATTCCCACACATATGCACACAAAATGTCATTAAAGCAACAACAAAGATAAGTCTCTTTGAGTGTGGTGTCATCTACAGACACATTCAGGTCAAGGATTACTTTCATCCATGGCGTCCTCATATACCCACATACACTTTTCTAACTCATGCTACCTGAAATAAATTCAGAGGGTATTTCAGAAAGCCTCATTCCCACATCCACACAGAACATAGGGTCTGATGTAGCCCAGGCTGGCCTCAAACTCACTTTGTAGCTGAGGATGGCCTGAAAAGTCTGAGCTTCCTGCCTCTACCTTCTGAGAGCCCAGATTACAGGCATTTGACACCATGCAGGGAACTATATATCTCCACTGTAACATTTTTTTTCCTGGAATAAAAAAATTGTAAATTTTTGTTGATTTATTTTATTTATTTATTTATTTATTTTATTTATTTATTTATTTATTTATTTATTTATTTATTTATTTTGTGTGTGTGTGTGTGTGTGTGTGTGTATCACATGCTTGTCTGATGCCCCTGGAGGAGTTGGGAAGGGGATGTCAGATCTCCTGGAACTGAAGTTACGTATGGATGTTAGTCTCCATGTGGGTGCTGCAAACAGAACTCAGGTCCTCTCAAGAACAAGTGCTTTTGCCGGGCGTTGGTGGCGCACGCCTTTAATCCCAGCACCCGG